TGCAGATAGAGCGCTCATGTACAATACATAAATAAAGCTTTCAAAAAAAAAAAAAAAAAAAAAAAAAAAAAGCAGTGGAGCCATACCAAGTCTGAGGTCTCCAACTGACCTCCTGTCACCTTATAGGTCAACGGGGCCTGGATGAAGGGGAAGCTGGTGCAGACGGGGACCAGGGCTCTGCTGCTCAGAACCACAGCAGTTCTCACCTGACGTCACTCAGGAAGCAGCCATGGCAAGAGGATGAAACCCGAGCTGAGGTACCATTTCGGGGGTGAGGGAGGTCCCCCTGTTCTTGGCTTTAGAGGAGGCTCTCCCTCTTTCGGCCGTTCCATGAGACTCTCCAGAGGAGAGAAGGATACTTTGAATAATGTCTCCTAAGACGTCACCTGAGGAACCCTGGCATGGCCGGAGGCTCCTTTGAAAGGGGGTTTTCTGCGGGTAAACACGCCTGGGAAATGCAGCCCACACATCCCCTACCTGAGTATGATTTGAAGTATTTTCAGAGGTCCTGGGTGGTGTGGACAGTTTAACTCTGTCCAGCTCCTGTTTCCCCGCACTGGTGAACCAGCTTCTCCTTGACTCCCCCGCCCACGCAGGCAGCTGGGGTCTGTGCAGGAAGAAAGAGCTCGTGGCCCTAGACTTGCTCTACGCTTCTTGCTAGTTGTAATAGACTAAGAGCTTAACTTTCAGCCTGAGTGGATGCCCCTGCGGAATGGAGTCGTGAGTTAAAATGAAGAAATGCTTTCTAAACTCTAAGGTTGTGTGTGTCTGTGTGTATGTGTCTCTGTGTGTTTGTCTCTGTGTGTGTGTGTGTTCGTGTTTTTGTCTGTGTGTGTGTATGTCTGTGTGTGTGTTTCTGTGTGTGTCTCTGTGTGCGGTGAATGGGGGTGGGGGTTCAGTGAGAGAGTGGGTGTATGCGTGAGAGAGGCGTGTGTGGTGTGTGTGTTAACAGTTGCTCAGGGCAACACAGACAGTATCTACTCCTGTCTTGAATAATCGTGTTTGGCTTTACGAGGTCACATGTCAAGGACAGCAGAAACGTGGAGAAGAGCCACACTACAGAAGGGGGAAGAGGACATTTTATGATGTGAAGGCCATGATTTAAGCACTTCGCTCTGGTTTTTATTTTCTTTCTGTGACCCCTTAAGCGCTGCATGTCAGACGCAGCTGTACGTCATTCCTTCTCTGGTCAAAAACTACGTGTTCTGTGGTAATAAACAGAATTGGAGACTGCGCTCCTGTGACCTTGTTTGTCCTCCCAGTCTTCAGAGACTTCATCCTCGAGTCCACGAGCCCCGATGCAAAGAGAGCCGCTCTCTTCCCTTCTGCTTACGAGAATGTGCGTCTGCCTTCCCTAGGACACGTTGACAGAGAGCCACCTCCGCGTCCAGGCTTCAGAGGAAAGTCACAATGGAAGGACGCAGCAGGCCTCCAGGAAGGCCCGAATCAGCCACCCTCCGCTTCCCAGTGACAAGTCCCTCTTCACGTTCTTCTGTGGCGCCTTCCCAGGTAGAAAGGCAGGTCTCGGGCGCTCGGGCCAGTGTTGATGGGAGCACAGCCTAATGCCGCGTTCACTTGAGAACACAGGCTCCCCAAGTGCCCCTTCTTCTCGCCACTCACCCTTGAAAATAGCAAGCAGAGCCCGGTTAATATGAGGGTTAGACTCTGATAGTCTCCTCTTCGCCTAGTGCTCAGCCCCCCGGATCCTGTCATTCAGGTACTGAGTTTGACTTATCCCCCACCCACCGGCCAGTAAGTTGTTTGCTTTTGCTGAGGCTGTTTCCCCGCCCTGTGGAACAGCATGGCTCCGAGGATACCACCACCATGGGGATTGCTCGGGTCAATCCGTGTAAAACATGGTGCATAATTTTCTTCCCGTGTTTACTTCCCAATGCACGTGTGTGGTTATTGCTGCTTTTCCCACCACCACTCAGCCAGCAAGAGGCCAGAGAGTGAGAGCGAGGCTCCCCCGCCTGCCATGTCAAAGCCACGGCCGTCCCAGCATCCCTCACGATCCCTCATTTTCTTCTCGTCGGCTACACTTACACAAAACTTCTATTTCCCTCATCTCTTCATTGTATACACAGAAAAGCCACTCAGGCTGGGGTATGGTGGTGTATGTTTGTAATCTAAGCACTCGGGAGGCTGAGGCACCAGTTTAAGAACATCCAGAGTTACAGAGTAGGTTTCAGGCTAGCTACCCTGGGCTCCCGTATGAAACCCTGCTCAAAAAAAAAAAAAATTTAAAGATAAAAGAGAGGGCTAGAGAGGTGGCTCAGTGGTTTAAAGTACTTGCTGCTCTTTCAGAGGACCCCAGTTCAGTTCCCAGCACCCACAATGGATGGCTCATGGCTATCTCAACTACCTGTGACTAGCTCCAAGGGATCTGATATCCTCTGACCTCTGCAGGCATGTAGCACACACACACACACACACACACACACACACACGCACACACACAGGCACACACAAATAATAATAAAAACAAGTTTCTAAGAAGAGAAAGAAGTAACAAAAGCTAAACCCAGCAGTTCACCCCTTGCCTACAACTGACACGTTTTCATTCCTACTTGTTTCTACAGACAAACAAGGGAACGTGAAACCCCACAAGGCCAGAGGCGGCTGCTTGTCGTCACAGGAGCCTCCTGCTGAAAAATGCCTTTTCCCGCCTATAGCGTCCGCCAGAGGCTCAGAGCAGAGTACCCTGGGGGAAGCAGAGAAAAGGAAGGTAGGGGAGGAGAGTGTGTTACCTGTGCATGTCTCTGTGTGTCTGTGTGTCTGTGTATGGTATCTGTGTGTGTACATACGTGTGTGTGTGTGTGTGTGTGTGTGTGTGTTTAATCCCATCCTAGGAATAACGTGACTCAGATGGCTGTCCCCGAGCTCACAGGCTGGAGCTGGTATGAAGGTTCTGCAGTAATTTGCTGCTGGAAGTCGTGAATTTCAGGGCCCGGTCACTCCTCAGAGCGGAACCCTTTGTTCTGTTAGGGACCAGGGAGTCTGGCAAGCAAGGGCAGAACTGGAGCTTGTGAGCAACCAGTTCACCACCAGTTAAAATGCTGGGGAAACTGACTCCAGCGGTGTTTGCTCTGCTGTCACCTCTGCCAACGTCGGGTCGTTTGGCAAGCCTGCAGCGTCCTCCCAGGACAGGCCGGCAGGATGGCACCGCCAGTAAAGGCTCTGGCCACCAAACCTGACTCAGTGCTGGGACTCAGGAGACAGAATCACAGCACCACCTCCCACAGCCGTCCTCTGACGTCCACAGCACCGAGTGGCGGCTGCCCACGCACATATAAGTAAATGAGCAAATAAGTAAAAGTAATAAAAATTTTAGCAGTCAAAACCACGTCTTCCTTAAGGTGACTCCGGCCATCTCCGGCCTGACCCTGTCTCGCCATTCTGTACGGGGCTTTGGCTTCTGGGAGGCATCGATGATGGGTAGGCCATGTAGAAACTCCACAGTGCTCTGGCCCACAGCTCCTGTGTGAATGCAGGCGGTTGCTCACGTCGGCTAAACCGTCTGGGGTCAGATGATGACAGGGACCTCACAGAGCCAGGAGGATGGAGATGGTGTTCCTCCCGTTAGGACTTCCTCCGAGTCCAGCTGGACAGCTCCACACTGAGGACCCACATCATCTGCCCTGGCTCTGCAGGACCCCAGGCAGCCCCATGTCAGGGAGGAGCACCGTTTCCACTCTGTTCAGGACAGTCTGGGCCAGGAGTGAAGAGCAGCCCCAACCTCCATCATCTCCACAGGATCCACACAGGCCCCCACACTCAGCCAGGCTGGACAGAGCCAGGCTCAGAAGGAAGGACTTCTTTGAACCCCATGCATTCGTTATCATAGGAAAGCGATATTTTGCACTGTGTTAAAACCCTGTGTCAATTTCTAATCAGAATACAGAAATTAAGGCTTGGCTTGTCAGCCGTCCCCCACGCAAGCAGTCTGAATCCCCACACAGTCTTCTCAATGCCACCCTTGTGAAACAGAGCCTCCGAGGTCCGAGGTCCGAGGTCCGTATTCACAGCAACACCTGCATCGGGAGGGTCTCCGGGAACAGAGGTCCTATGTGCGTGTGTTTGGCTAATGGTTTTCTTAACGTCTCAAAATTGTAAATATTGCTTTGCATAAGTTGGGCAGAATTTTCTTCCTCAATCAATCCCAAGCATGTAGGACGCTTATGTGTGTTTCTGATTTTTTTTTTCTTTTAAGCATTGGTGGGGAGGGGAAAGGGAGAATCTTTTTTCTTTTTTTTTTTTTTTTCTTTTTCTTCCTGTGAAATGTGTACCCATATGTCCCAGGGCACTAAAGTCATATGCCAAACGCTAGAAACAGAAAGTGAAGTCTTCTGAAATTTCTGAATGACTGGAAACTAGAGAATCCAAGCATTACTCTGTGGTATCTCCTCCCCCATGTATGTATACATAATACATGTGGGCATGAGTGTGTGTGTGTGTGTGTGTGTGTGTGTGTGTGTGTGTGTGTGTGTGTAGGAAGTAAAAGCCAAACGAAATGATCTGTTGAAGCCAGCACACAGTGACTCTTTTTAGTTGTATTGATGTGACAGAAGTGATCAGAAGCTTAGTTTTTCTTCTAGGGGACAAACTGGGTATTAAATGTTTTTGAATAAATATCTTAGACCCTGAGTTTAAGGTCCCCGTTCAATACCCAGCAACAGTATAGGGACTCACAAGGCAAAGGCAAGAAAGGTGTGAGTTTCAAAGCCAGTCTGGATTATATGGTGAAACCCTGTCTCAAGAGAGAGTTCACAACTCAGCAGTAAAATGTTTGTCTAACATGCACCAGGCTCCAACCTCACACACACACACACACACACACACACACACACACCTCAGACATACACACCCACATTACATACCACACACACACACACCTCAGACACACCTCACATTCAGACATCCCCCCCCACACATATACTACACACAACACAGATGTACACACAACACACACACACACACATACAACACACACACAAACCACACAAGCCATGAAAATAACCCACACTCTAAACACTACAGTGGCTACATAGGATATTTATACCTCCTGCCTTTGCAGCGCAGGAGCATGACCACACTCTTATTTTAAGCAAGAAATTGAGGCTTGCAAGCTGCCAAAGGGAACCGGGCACAAATGACCAGTCCCCATTCTCTGCCCCTTCCCACCAGAGCTGGACAATATTCTGCACCTTGCTCACCTGCTCACCCTCAACACATTTGAAGCACTCTCATTTATAGGCCAATGTCGCTTCATCCTTATCGTTCTCCCGGTCACCAAAGAGACTATCGTTCCCTCAAAGGCTTCATGGTGAGGAGAGGGAAGTTTGGGACAGGGTCTCATGAAGTGCAGGATGGCTTTGAATTTTCGGCTTCACTCCTGATCCTCCTGCCTCTGTTTCCCAAGTGCTAGGATTCCAGGTGTGGACCGCCAAGCCTAGCTCTCTGAAAGGTTCTCAGACTTATCATGTTTGATAAGACTCAGAAGGGCCTTTGATAAGACTCAGAAGATGGGAAGGTAGGTGGGTAGGTAGGTGGGAAGGTAAGCGGCGGGGGGGGGGTGCAGGCCGGCCAGGGTGGGCAGGTGGATGGAGCCAGCCCAGAAAGGATGAGGATATGTGGAGCTCCCTGTGCGGCAAAGCAGCACACACCACAGCCATAGGCAAGGGCTCCCAGCCGATAACCTTTGCCTCTCCTGGCAGCTATTTGTACAAGAAACACAGTGAGGTACAGTACCGCTTGCCCTCTGCAGAAGCTGAGTTTGGATACCTGCCATGTTGGTTTTGTGTTTAAACTTTCTCCAGGCACCAAGGGCTCTGAAGTTGCCTCGTATTTTAGAAGAACCACCCAGAGTCCTCAACCCCCTGCGGAGCCGATTTAAAGGCCATGTACCTCCAATGGAGCTCTTCATTATCCCGATGGAGATCCATTTCCATACTCCACAGCCCCCCAGAGAAAAGGCCTGCAGAAGAGGTAGGTCCCCTGCTGATGGCATCTCTGAGGAACTTGGGGGAAGCCAGAAAGGGCTGAGAGTTGGGGTCCCCTGCCAGTCCAACCCATCCTGGAGTGATGGCTGAGCTTCCCAGGGTCATCCTCAGGAAAAGATGAGCTTTTCCAAACAAAGGAAAGGCAGCAAAATATGTAGGTCTCTCCTGGTCATATCCAATTTAATTTTGTACCTATCTGCCAAGCCCTTCATTACGTAGCTCATGTTACTAAACTAGGAAAAGAAGGCAGACTGAGCCGGGCACGGTGGCGCACCCCTTCAGTCCCAACACTCAGGGAGGCAGAGGCAGGCAGATCACTGTGAGTTCGAGGCCAGCCTGGTCTACAAAATGAGTCCAGGACAGCCAAGGCTACACAGAGAAACCCTGTCTCAAAACAACAACAAAAAGATAGATACATACATAAGTCCAATGTACCATAGATAGCACAAAGGTGCAAGATGTTCAGGCAGTTTACAGGGAAAAAAAAAAAAAAAGATATAATACAAAAAAAAGCAACTAAAAATGGAATTGAAAAATTGCCCTAGTTAGGATTCCTATTGCTGTGACAAAAACACCAGGAGGAGAGAGTTTATGTGATTTACATATACAAAGTCACAAACTACTGAGGGAAGCCAAGGCTTCACACAGCAGGAACCTGGAGGCAGGAGCTGATGCAGAGGCCATGAAGGGTGCTGCTTACTGGCCTGCTCCCCTGCCTGGCTCAGCCTGCTTTCTTATAGCACCGAGGACCTCAGCCCAGGGATGACCTCACCCACAACGGACTGAGCCCCTCCCTCACCAATCTCTAATTAAGAAAATGTCCTCAGGTGGCTCTTAGGGAGGCAAAACTCTAGCTTGTGTCAAGACTGCATAAAACTAGGCAGGACAAAAACCTTGGTTGAAAATATCAGAGAAATGGATATCACCAGACAACTTGGATGAAGTTAGTGCTTTAGATTTATTTAACTGAGTTCCCTATCAGCCAAGGTGCAAACAGTTATTGGCTATTTAAATCTTCACTTTATAAAAAAGAAATTTTTCCCAAAAGAATCTTTTTAATTTTTAAAATTATTTTATGATCTAAAAGACCATCTCTATAATCCTTGTCAGGAAAAAGATCTTGTTCTTTCTAAGAAGACTTCTGGGAAAGCATTACCTAGAACAGACCTCTGAGAGAGCATGATCTAGAACAGACCTCTGAGAGAACATGGCCCAGGAGAACAGGGAAGACCTCTGAGAGAGCATGACCTAGAGCAGAGAAGACCTCTGAGAGAGCATGACCTAGAACAGAGAAGACCTCTGAGAGAGCATGGCCCAGGAGAACAGGGAAGACCTCTGAGAGAGCGTGACCTAGTACTGGTACAATGGGATTGAAGAAGGCTCTCGGAGGAACCTTGAGAATAACCTCCCCCACCGCCCCCCGTGGCCAGGAGCAATTTCCTGACTTTCCTAAGTTGTTTTGCTGGCTGTGCCCTTGTTTAACACAGTCTCGCTCCTGGGACTTCACTGGTCAGTCTGGAATAAGAGTAACTCCCATTTTAAGGGAGTCAGAGCTTTCCAGAAACCTCAGCAGAAACTGCCTTTGACTTCTTACAGACTTTTTGACTTCTGGAAATTTTACAGGAGGATCTTTTGTTCCAAGGCTGCTTGGATTTCTGCAAGGATGAATAATGTTTAGCTCCCCAACATCACCCAAGGAGAAAAGGCAGGGAGGAAGGGGAGAATACAGGGAGGAATGAAAGAGGAAAGGGAGGAAGGGGACAGGGCAGGAAGGAAGAAAGGGCGGGCAGTCAGGCTTGGGTCATGTCCTAGCCCTGGAACCATTCACTGGCTCGGTCACACGGCCACCCCGGGAGCCAGAGAATGAACACAGATTTCTTCAAACCCCATTGTGCAAGCTAGGAAGAGATGAGTCTCCCACAAAGACAAGACACATGGCAAAAACAACTTAGCTTTCTGTCCGTCTTCTAGGTGCCCAGCAGCCCCTGTCAGAAGCAGAAGAAGCCATGCCTCTGGGGCGGCCTCCCCTGAAACGTCTGTTCTTAGGAAGGACAAGGGGCCTAACAGCGCATCTCCCAGTGGACAGCAGCCAGGACACACCCTCACTGCCAGGTACTTCCTCTCTCCCTCCAGCATCCCGCAGCAAGCTCACTCCAAATGGAAACCAGGCAAGACAAAGGAGGGTCCTCAGCAGAGAGAAAGGAGGCTGCCAGGGGGGTCAGTTCATCTCCAGCCTCTTGAAGATGGCTGTTCTACTGTTCAGGCAGCAAGTGCCTTAACCCACATGCTTCCATACAACTGACCACGCCTGGCTCTCCAATGACTTACTCACTGAGTCATGCCCCCATAATATTTTCTGGGTGTAAAATGGCACTACACTCACTAAAAACTTGCTGCATGCCCTGTTACTGATCCCGTTTTTCTGCAGGGAAATGTCATCTCTAATCTTTTATGAATATATACTTATCAATTTAAAAGTTTGTGATAGTGATTTTTTTAATACGGTCACCAGGAGTTACACACATGGCACCCAAACTTGGAAGGCAGAAGCAGAAGGATCTCTGTGAGTTTGACACCAGCTTGTTCTCCATAGCAAGTTCCAGCACGGCCTGGGCTATACAGAGAGACCTTGTCTCCAAAAAATAAAAAATAAAAACTTTTTAAGAAGAATAATAAAGCCAGGTGCAGTGGCACATGCTTATAACCCCAGCGCTCGGGGAGGCTGAGGCAGGCAGATCTTTGTGAGTTCAGGGCCAGCCTGGTCTATGAGTCCAGGACAGCCAAGGCTACATAGAGAAACCCTGTCTCAAAAACACAAACAAAACGAATAATAACAACAGTAGTAAAGAAGTTATGCACGTGGATATTTTAAAGTGCATATTTTAATGCAGCAAATATGTTAGAAGTGGTGAGCCGTGTGTGGAAAGTCCTCCGTTTTCAGAAACCTGAACGTTCTTCCAAAAGACACGTGCAAGATGACAGGCTCGGGGGTGGCAGGAGCTCACCAGTCACCGAAGCTGGAAGCAGAGGGTGCACACTGGCTTGTAGTGTGCCGCCCTCCGTGCCAGGCTCCGCCCTCTGAGCACGCATTCTCTCAGTGATCACCTCCACGTCTTGCCCCGAGTTGCCCTTGAGAACCGACACAGCGGAGAACTCAGGGTGCTCTACCAGGGCAGAGGCTAATGGGCATCTTCTGTGAATGCCAATCATCTGTTTCATAGCTTCTTTAGATCTAGTCCAGGCAAGGACCACCTCCCGTCACTTCTGGTTCACAGGGAGAGCCACAGCAATGAGGTGGATTCAAGATCAGCATTGCTCGTCCTGGGCTGCCTTCCTGGGCATACTGTCTTCACCCACCAGGGGCTGACAGTCAAGAGCTAGCCCACCTCTGGCTACCAGGCCTGGGAGAGGCTGGCCTGAGAGGTCTCTGCTAGCTCAGGGTGAGTTAGTTCAGTATGTGACTCATGCTCGTAAGAAAGAGAGCCAAGGGAGGGTCATAAGCTCAAAGCCATCCTCAGAAACAGCGACACCCCCAGCTCAGAGGGAGAAAAGGAGGTGCTAAAGAGGCGAGATCTTTCACACATTCTGTCCGCCACAGACCTGGAAGGTGGGACTGTCCCAGGACACAATGACTGCACATTCCCATTCTCTTGCTCAGCCCTAGAATATTTATTTCCCTTTTAATGTCACGGAAGTGAAGCGGGCTTTCATGTCTTCACATATCCACATACGCATATATTTTCTTTTATTAAAGCTCTAGGTGGGGGTAAGTCGCAGATATCATATACCCTATCGTAGAATATCCCCTCTCAGCCACAGTACAGTTATCATACTCAAGAAAGCTAACATTAGCGAAAAACTGTTTTCCAATATTTAATCCATATTCAAATTTTTCTAATTATAACAACAATGTTCTCTGGGTTTCTTGTTTTTTGTTTTCCCCCAAATCAAAATTCAACTCAGGACCACGCATTACATTTCACTGTCATATCTCTTCAGGGCCTTTTAACCTGTAAGAATTCCCTAGGCTTTGTTGTTTGGGTTGTTGTTGCGGCTATAGTTGAGGTTGGGTTTGGCCTGGTTTCTCCAGACTTACTGTGTATGACCTTGAACTCCTGATCCTCCCATTTCTATATCCTGGATGCTAGAATGACAGTTGCTCCTGGGTACAGCAGGTTTCCGGGCTGGTTTCTTATGACATCAGTGTCAGTGTGTTCCATAGGGGGTGACACTGTACGGAGCCAAAGGTGGTGGTGTCTGCCAGATTTCTCCACTGTGAAAATTCTTCTGTCAGGCGTGGTGGCTCACGCCTTTAAACCTAGCATTTGGGTAGCAGAAGCAGGTAGGTGGATCTCTGTTACTTGGAGGCCCAGCCTGGTCTACATAGTCAGTTCCAGGACAATGAGGACTGTGTAGAGAGACTCTGCCTCTAAAGAAAAACAAAACAAACAAAAACGCTTTTATAATAAACAAACAGCCTGTGAAATTCTGAGGTCATGTATGAAGCCAGCTTTTAGGCCTCCAGGGAACCGTAGTGTCAAACGTGAAATAAAGCCCTGAAGGACAGAGCTGGAGCGTTTGGAGGTCTGTCTTGCAGGAGCAGTCCCTGCTGGGTCTGAGAGGAGAGAGTGGTGGTACGCGGTGCTTTCTGGAGGTTATATCAGTGCTGTGGCTGTTTGCCATCTGGGGTGCGGCACAGTCCGCCCTGCCCATCGACACGCCCACTCTACAGCCACAGATTCAACCACCAAAGTATTTGGGGGAGGGGAAACTCAACTGTACTAAACACCCTCTCCTTTTTATTATTTTATTTTATTTTTTTGCCACTTTCTTCTAAACAGTACACTGTAACATCTATTTGGGTGGCGTTTACTTGTGTCCACTAGCCTAAGGAAGCTGGAGACAGGTGTGCAGGGAATGTGTATAAGTTTGTACCATGCCATTTTATATAAGGGCTTAAGCATCCGAGGATGTGAGTATCCAGTCTAGCCTGGAATCAGCAGGCGGCTGGACCTCATACCCCGAATGCCCCGAGAAGGGAATGAGACCACTGGCTCCGTCTAGCAGAATGACCTTGTCATCAGAAATCTGTATCTAGCCAGGTGTGGTAGCACAAGCCTGTAACCCTAGCATTGGGGGCACTAAGGCAGAGACCATATTTTGAAGCCAAACTGGACTTCCCAGTAATTTATTGTCTCAAAAGGAAAGAAAACTGTATCTCATAATCAAAATCCCCAGAGCCCTAAAGCCAGAGTCCTTGTACTGGGTTCCTTGAGACTTGGGCTTTGTAACCTCTGAGGGTCACTGTCTTCTCCAGGTCCCATCTATGATAACAGTAACGGCTGTCACTTCTCCGTTCCTTCCCGCTCTGTCCTAGCCAAGGGCAGTTTCACTCTGTGGCTCCCTACTCCTTAGCAGGTCTGGGAAAGAGGAACACTGCTGAGAACAGACTGATCCACCATCCCAAGCACCAGTTAACCACGCCAGAAAAGACACGCTCTCATCTTCCTGACTCAAAAGGTTTTCCATTCATGATTTTCCCATTTTGCTTTTAAGATGCGTTGGCCCAGAGCGTAGACCAACCTTTGGGACCCTCGCCCCCAATTGAAGGAAAGAAAAGCCCCGAGATCCAGAGGGACTCGGACAGCGCCGGGACACCAGGCTGCAGCAGTCCCCCGGATCACCCAATCGAGAGGATACTGCCAGCAGGACCAGGTAACACTCTGGGTGCACGGAAACCTGACCCCCTTGTCTTCTCCTGGCCAGGGCTACAAGGCAAGCCATGAACTAGTTCCCCCAAAAAAGGGGAAATGGTGGTATTTCCAACTATGTTGGTGATATTAATGTTCAGTCCTCCCCCCCCCCAGGAGTCTGAATTTGTTGGGAGGGTGTGCTGTACCAATACACCCCAACAAGCAGTTTCCTCCTTCCAGCGGCTACACACTATGACTTGGTTTTCTGAACCCCTGTGGCGCACACCACTGAGTTCAGTAGACATACTTAAGGTCACTCTAAGCCAGACCCTCCGTAGGCCTAGGAACCCGTGGGCCTTGCAGTAGATAAAGTTAAGAGAGGGAAGTCATTCTCCAACCCAGGGCAGAACTGAGGGCTGTTCACAGGAGGGAAAAGACGCCGAGTTCCTATTGGAAGACGAGGCAGGGCAGGCCATGGCCTGTGTGACTGAGCCCCACTTAGACACTGTCAGTCAAGAAGGGACCAAGCCCGAAAGCAACGTGCAGGAGCCATGCAGTGGCCCGCCCACACGGGGATTCGAACTGTAGGCAGAAACTGTGAACAAAAGCCGCTGAGACTCTGAGTTACCCCTGATCCAACCCATCTCAAGAGAGATGCCAGGCTGGAAACTGGCAGGCGATCATCAGACAAGTGCAGTCGGGACCGGAGAGCTGGCCCGGCAGTTAGGAGCAGTGTTTGCCCTCTCCGAGGACTCCTGCTCTGTCCTTGGCACCCAAGTTGGCCCACAGTCATCTGTAACTCCAGTTCCGGGGAACTTGACGCCCTCTTCTGGCCTCCTCCGGCACTGGGCATGAACGTGGTGCATATACATACATGTACACAAGCCGCTCACACACATAAAATAAAAATGATAAATAATAAATCTTGATATATATTCTTAAAAAGCAGCCCGTTCGCTGCTCCTCCCCCCTCAGACCCTGGGGCCACTTCCTCTGGGGAGCACCAGATGAAGGAGCTAGCAAGTGTGGAAGTGACAGATTGTGCAAAGCAAGAGACATCTCTGTCCCCAGCACGGCTCACACTGAAAGGGACTGAGAGCCTGGGCAGACATGCTCCTCAGAAGCAGGCTGCCTCTATTTAAATCCATCGCTCGCTCCCTCCCAGCCCCCCGCCGCCTCCCCTCCCAGCTCTCATTCTGTCCCCAAAGTAAGTGGCTCTGAACTCCTGTAAGCATGACTTAAGTATGTAAGTCGATAACTTCACTCTGTGCTCACAGATTCTCTGTTTAGAGCTGAGGTAGTCAAAACCAAATCCCTGCCTCCCCACCTGCTCCTTTCTCCCCAAATGCCTTTGAGCCTTTTTTTCCTCAGCTTCATCCCCTTACACGATACACAAATGGCCCAAGCTTGGCCCGTGTGCCTACTTCCCCAGTGGCCTCCCTGGAGGTTAACAGCCGGGACAAATCACAGCAGACACACACCTAGTCTTGGATAATCTCATGAAGGGGGAATGTGATTACACCAGAACAGCGCAGCCATGACTGACACAGGTGTATATACCGGGTGTGTGTGCATGTGTGTAAGTGAGCGTATGTATGTTCGAGGATCTCAGAGTGGCATACGTATGCGTATTTGTTCATGTAAGCGCATGTGTGTGCTGTGTGCATGAGGCATGCCTGCACGTGTCTTAGCACATGTCTAAGGTGCGTTCAAGCGTGTGATGGGATGCATGTTCCAGTGTGTGTGTGCCGTCGTTTATATGTGACATGGGTATGTGCCTGCATGTCTGTGGCTGTGTGTATGTACATTTGTCTTTTGAGAGTATGCTCATACATGCACATGTGTATGAATCTTTCTGTATACATGCATATGTGTATACATAAGCATACATATACGTGTGTTTGTTAAGTGAGCTGAGTCAGCTGAAGGCCTGCCTCACTACTCTGGCTTTGCCTTGGAAACAGGAAGAATGAAAGTAGTGTAATATGAGCTCTATCCAGCCTCTGTCCCTGGTTTCTGTCACAGACCTGAAAACCTGCCGAACTTCAGATAGAAGTCTCTTCCTGCTCGTGGGGAACCTTTTCTGATAGTGATGTCGTTTATGCTAATGGGGTCACATGGGCTCAGAGGGGGCACCGCCCTCCCCTGGCTGCTGAGCTGGTTCCTGAGAGCACATTAGTAAACCTAAGTGCCTTGAGGGAGCTCTGTGGGTGTCCTAAGAAAGCATCAGGGTCATGGAAGCCCCGCTTTATAACTGGTGGGTCAGAAGCCCAGGCCACAAGTGGACCTGCAATCAACAGTTGCCATGGGGACAGCCTTTCGGAGCTGAGCCTTTAACCCGAAGAATCTGACATGAAGTCCAGGTAGCAGCGTCAGCACTGAACAGAAGTGTTAGCCCCGCAGTCATGTGCTTGGTCTGTCTTGATGAGTGGGGACCCTCCATGCTTCTGGTCATAAGCCTGTTCTGTGCTGAGACTGAGGGCAGAGAAGGAAAATGTGTTTTTCCTCCATAGTGAGTTTAGCTGAACACCTTGGGCCTCTGCAAGTAACCAAGGCAGAGATAACTTCCTTGTGCAGCCTGGACTGGAGTTCCTGTGCAGGCCCAGCATTTGGTCCTAGGCATACACACGGGTCATACACACGGAATGCCACTGAGAGGCATCAACTGAGAGGAAAAGCAAGGCAGGAGGCACCAAATCCTGTACCCAGGGACTAAGCTGCATCCAGGTGAAGACAGGCCCCACAGGCCTAGCCCCGCCCTCAGAGTATCCAGCGCTGCCATCTCTCCAGACCCTTCATGGCCATGGTGTAGGCTCATGGAAGCCCCCTAACTCCCACTCATCCAGACCCCAGAGGACAGGGCCCGGACAAACCTGCTCTGCCAAGCACCTCTGAAGTGTGGCAAGCACAGAGCACACCAGATGTCCATCCAAGCGCCCGCCTGCGCTCCGGAACACAGTCAGGCTCGGCCTCCCTCACCTGCACTGGGGTAACACCACCCGTACATGTGCTTATTTTCAAGATGAGTACAGAGATCCCACATGGAAACACTTCTTGCCAAATCCAGAAGGTGAAAATGTCCGCCTGACCCTGCAGGGGCTCATGGGAACAGAGGCGCTTCCCCCGGGACAAGGTAAGGTAACACACACTCCAGGTCAGCTTCCTCTTCAGAGGGAAAGGCTTTCCCTTCAACTCCCCAAGGCTCCCAGCAGCAGAGACATCATTAAAAACAGACATGAGGCAGCCAGTCTTTCCCGCTCTCTGACACAGAGGTTCCCCTGTGGTCCAGACACAATAACCCTGTGTTCGAGGAACAAGTTCCCTCTTGCCGGAACATCTGGAGACGGGAGTTGCAGAGGGATGGCCTGGAAGAGCTCTGGTGTGCCATGATCAGGATGATAAAGCCCTTTTGGTATTTGCCCAAACTAAACACTGCCTTTTTCTTCTTTCCAACCGCGCTCCTGAGGTGGAGGTGGCTAATTGGTAATCCAATCAGGCATCCTTGTTATGTGAGTTGGCTCACTGCTATGACTCACCTGGCTTCTGAGAGAGAGACAGCAAGGCAGTTTCCAAAACCCCTTTCGGCACGGGAACGTTCTGGAAAAGAGGTGCTGGCTCAGGGCAATAGCCATTTTGCAAAGGAAAAAAAAAAAAAAGAAGTGAAGTCAGAGGGCGATGAGTGTCAACCGCCCAGAAACCACTAGGATGGGCTTGCCTGAGCTGTGCGGCCAGCAAGCCCCTTGATGAGGAAGAGTAAACGCTGCACGCATTGGTGGGTTATGTCATGACTGGCTTAATGAGTCGGGCCTAGATCCAGGGCCAGATTTCCATAGCCCTGGCTTGCCCTCAGTGTGGCCTGATCATGATTCCTGTGTCCATAGTTCCTCACTTGAAATGACAAGACACACACACGCACACACAGAGACAGATCCCTGGACTGCATTTTACAGTCTGCATCTGTTGCTGAAAGTTCCACCCACTAGAAGGATTTCTGGGAAGCATGATGCATTCACTTCTAACCTCAGTATCCAAGAACGTCCACGACCATTTGGGTTATACCAGAGGATGAGCTTTGAAATGTCTAGGGTCTGAGTCTGTTGGAGCGGGAGAGAGACAGTTGGAAGGACTGTGTGGTTCAGCCGGTAGGACAGCAGGGAAGCAAATGGGACCTTCACCCGCCACACACTTGTCTGTGCTGTTCCAGAGAAGTAGATCCCCTCTGGACAATGCAAAAGCAAGTCCCGGAAACAGAAACATTTAAGTATTCGGTTTGTTGTTGCCGCTGTAGATCAATGTTTACAATGTTTCCTTCAGACATTTCCGCGTCTCCATCACAGTAACTCTCACATGAGGCATGATTACAGTAAGTGTTCACCAAAAAAGAGTTCACTTGGACTCCCGGTAGAGTGCCTGGCGTGCACAGAGTCCTGAGTTGGAGTCCCAGCAAACTCTCATGCCCCAATTTCAGAGAGAGAAAGAGAAATAAAATTTAGGCTAAACAAACAGAGACTGGCTTGCGTTTTCTCCCGGTCCCAAGGGTGACACGCTTAGTCTTGATTGCTTCTCAAATTCAGAAGCATCCATTGTGCTCTCGCTGAATGACTCAGCTAGGCATTCTCTCTCCAGCTTTTTCTCTGTACAGTTGCTTGACCTTCAGTCTCGATGGTGATTGGCTGGTGCCTTAGAAAGTGAGGAAAAATCTTTTTTTTTTTAAATTTAATTTTTCTTATTAGTTACATTTTGTTAACTCTGTATCCCAAGGAAAAATCTTAAACACGCATCTTCCTACAATGAACCAAAGAACAGGTCAACCTTTCTAAAAGACTCCATTAACTGAAGCGCAGTTTTGAGATTGTAGTTATTTCTATGTTATGTGTATGGGTGTTTGCCTGCACAGGTCTGTGCACGCAGTGCCCACAGAGGCCGAAAGAGGGTGTCATATCCTCTGCTACTGGAGTTTCAGATAGTTGTGAGCAACATGTGGGCCCCAAGTTTGAACGCAGGTCCTCTGGAAGAGCAGCCGGTGCTTTTAACCAATGAGCTGTCTCTCCAGCCTCTGAAGGGTATTTCTGTTGTTGTTTTGTTTCGAATTGTTTATGGATTTGGGAGTTTTGTTCTTCTGATCTTTGGTTTGATCTGAAAGAGAGTATATTAAAAGCCCCTTTCCCCTTTGCAAAGGACTTACTCCTCCACAACAGACTTTCAGATCCATCTTTTCAGTTTTATTTACTTGAATCTGGGTGCAGTGGAGTACACTTGTAATCCCAGCACTCTGAGAGGCAGAGGTGGGTGGATCTCTGTGAGTTCGAGGCCAGCCTGGTCTTCAAAGGAAGTCCAGGACAGCCAAGGCTACACAGAGAAACCCTGTCTCGAAATATAGATAGATAGATAGATAGATAGATAGATAGATAGATAGATAGATAGATAGATAGATAGATA